GCCACCCTGGATATGCGACATCTACGTACTAGATATACTGGTCAGATAATGCGGGGTTGATGACAACAGTAGTAGTAGTAAAACGTGACAAAAACTAATGACGTACATATAATAGTGTCCAGTCACCTCCGGCGAAGTTACCGCCAAAATATGTGGTCAGCATTCATACATTGCTTTATTGTCTTAAATTAACCTGCTCTTATAATTGGAGCACTTCATTACTTAAACCTCTCTCTAAACCGAAAAAGAATGGAGACTATGGCGTTGTTCTAAAAATATTTAATTGGGCAAGGTTTGGTATGTACAGATTTCAGTTTAACATAGAAAAGGTCCAGAAAGAAGAAATTAAAATGTATAACTTCTTCAACCAACCAATCCGTGTATTACTCCTCTACCTACCAATCCGTGTATCATGTCGTCTACCTACCAATCCACGAATCATCTCCTCTATCTACCAATCCGTATTCATCTCTACATACCTAACCGTGTATCATCTCCTCTACCTACCAATCTATGTATCTTCTCCTCTACCTACCAATCCGTGTATCGTCTCCTCTACCTACCAATCCGTGTATCATCTCCTCTACCTCCCTATCCGTATATCATCACATCTAACCATCAATCCGTGTATCATCTCTTCCTACCAATCCGTGTATCATCCCCTCTACCTACCAATCCGTTTATCATCACATCTTCCCATCAATCCGTGTATCATCCCCTCTACCTACCAATCCGTTTATCATCACATCTTCCCATCAATCCGTGTATCACCTCCTCTACCTACCAATCCGTATATCGTCTCTAACTACCGATCCGTGTATCATCTCCTCTACCTACCTATCCGTATATCATCACATCTACCCATCAATCCGTGTAGCATCTCCTCTACCTACCAATCCGTATATCATCACATCTACCCATCAATCCGTGTATCATCTCCTCTACCTACCAATCCGTTTATCATCACATCTACCCATCAATCCGTATATCATCTCTACCTACCAATCCGTGTATCATCACATCTACCCATCAATCCGTGAATCATCTCTAACTACCGATCCGTGTATCATCTCCTGTACCTACCAATCCGTGTATCATCTCTACCTACCAATCCGTGATTCATCACATCTACCCATCAATCCGTGTATCATCTCCGCTACCTACCAATCCGTTTATCATCACATCTCCCCATCAATCCGTATATCATCTCTAACTCCCGATCCGTGTATCATCTCCTCTACCTACCAATCCGTATATCATCTCTACCTACCAATCCGTGTATCATCACATCTACCCATCCAGCCGTGTATCATCTCCTCTACCTACCAATCAATGTATCATCTCCTCTATCTACCAATCCGTGTATCATCTCCTCTACCTACCAATCTATGTATCGTTTCATCTACCTACCATTCCGTGTATCTTCTCCTCTATCTACCAATCCGTGTATTTTCTCATCTACCTACCAATTCGTGTATCGTATCCTCTACCTACCAATCCGTGTATCATCTCATCTACCTACCAACCCGTATATCATCTCCTCTATCTACCAATCCGTGTATTGTCTCATCTACCTACCAATTCGTGTATCGTCTCCTCTCATACCAATCCGTAAATCATCTCGGTCTTTGTTCTTATTTTTTGAAGAAATTAGTACGAAAACAAATTAGATTTGAGATACATTTGATTATAACATGTCAATTTAACGAAGAAAATGTCCTTTTTCGATTTTCCGTTTAACTTACATGCTTTATATGTGACCTCGGTACATCTCCAACGTGTCACGTTTAGGGTAACTGAGCCGTTCTGTCTGTATCTAGGTTGGATTGCGATCCTAAAGTCCTGGACAATGTACCGAGAAATCCTGCATTTTAATTGGTTAATTATTGTTATTTTCAGTCAATAAAAACTAATCTATCGTTCAGAAAGCAATCTTCAGTATATAATTTCACACCGAATCGGTAGGTACACCTCAGCGCACCCAATAAAAAGGTAACGATTTTAGGACAGAAATTGGACATATCGTATTGAAACTTAATGACCAACATAACCGCAATGTCACACCGCTATCCTGAAAGGTGAGAGGCAGAGTGGTCACGGGGAAAATGCCATCACATAAAATCGCGCACCTGTTTTGATTTTATAAACATGTGCATATTGTTTATATACATTTTTATGGAACTATCTGCTTGGTTGGTTTAGTCTTTAACGTAAAGGGTCATTTTATGGTTTTATGGATCAAATATCAACCAACATGTGTCGTGTCATAGTAAAATTATCCCACCATGTCACGCATGGGGAACCATATACATGTCGGTTTGTTCATGACATGTAAACAGAGGTGTATGCATCTAATCCGTTTTATATCAGTTCCAGTAGAATACATTGTATATTTTATCCTCGCCTGCTCTTGACCGTGTTATATACGTAGACACTGGACCGTGTTATATACGTAGACAGTGGACCGTGTTATATACGTAGACACTGGACCGTGTTATATACGAACACTGGACCGTGTTATATACGGACACTGGACCGTGTTATATACGGACACTGGACCGTGTTATATACGTAGACACTGGACCATGTTATATACGGACATTGGACCGTGTTAAATACGTAGACACTGGACCGTGTTATATACGGACACTGGACCGTGTTATATACGTAGACACTGGACCGTGTTAATTACGTAGACACTGGACCGTGTTATATACGTAGACACTGGACCGTGTTATATACGGACACTGGGCCGTAATATATACGTAGCCACTGGACCGTGGTATATACGTAGACACTGGACCGTTTTATATACGGACACTGGACCGTGTAAAATACGGACACTGGACCGTGTTATATCTGGACACTGGACCGTGTTATATACGTAGACAATGGACCGTGTTATATATGTAGACACTGGACCGATTTATATACGTAGACACTGGACCGTGTTATATACGTAGACACTGGACCGTGTTATATACGGACACTGGACCGTAATATATACGTAGACACTGGACCGTGTTATATACGTAGACACTGGACCGTGTTATATACGTAGATACTTCACCGTGTTATATACGTAGACACTGGCCCGTGTTATATACGTAGACACTGGACCGAGTTATATACGTAGGCACTGGACCCTGTTATATACGTAGACAATGGACCGTGTTATATACGTAGACACTCGACCGTTTTATATACGGACACTGGACCGTGTTATATACGGACGCTGGACCGTGTTATATACGTAGACAATTGACCGTGTTATATACGTAGACACTTGACCGTGACATATACGTAGACACTGGACCGTGTTAATTACGTAGACACTGGACCGTGTTATATACGCAGACACTGGACCGTGTTATATACGTGGACACTGGACCGTGTTATATACGTAGAGACTGGACCGTGTTATATACGGACACGGGACCGTGTTATATACGTAGACAATTGACCGTGTTATATACGTAGACACTTGACCGTGGTATATACGTAGACACTGGACCGTGTTATCTCCGTAGACACTGGACCGTGTTATATATGTAGACACTGGACCGTGTTATATACGCACACTGGACCGTGTTATATACGTAGACCCTGGCCCGTGTTATATACGTAGACACTGGACAGTGTTATATACGTAGACACTGGACCGTGTTATATACGTAGACAGATCAACGTAAAAGACGTTTGATTGCACCAATAACATTTAGTAACAGATAAAGCTTGTCAAAATTAATGAAACTGCACCCTACAGCTATTTCGTCCTTGTATGTCTCGTCAGTGTCGTCAGTGATGCTGGGGGACAAAAAGATGGACAGCCAAATTGGTCAACTACAGTTAAACATATGGAGATGTGTGTTAAACCACTTAATTATATAGATTTAAAGAAAATGTGAGGAATATTTCAGATCAATAACGAATCAAGTGTGAGCAATGTGGCTATCAAGGTTACGGCTAACTTCGGGGACTAAGAAATCCACCAGCACCGTCTACCACCTTGTATCTTGAAAGGTGAACGTAACCCACACATGACTGATACACAATAACAATTGGTGATAGATACAGCTTGACATAAATGAATTACTAACAAAGATTAGTCGTTGTCGAACGCACGTGAATAGCGGATAGACACCAATGCACGGTGTTTTCGCACCTATAGATGTTGTTACCATTTCAGCGGGAACACGACTGGAAGGACATTGTTGTTATACCTAATGACGTCATTGACGCATACAATTCCAATTATCTCAAACATGTTTGTCTTATGTCACAAGAACAATAGATATATAAATGTTCATCATTTACATATATCATGAATGCGCATGTGTTAATTCGTCATACCTGGGAGGATCATCGTGTATGAAGGTCATACACAACCATTCCTCATCTGACAAGTGTCGTCTCATTCATGTTAAATATCAGCTGGTTTATTATCCATTTATTAAATATATATATAATGGACATGCTTCAAATGATTTTCAAGTTTAAGATTAAGTTTTAGCTAACATCAATGTGTTAAGCTCGACTCCCGACATCAATGTAATATTCTACGGATCACGCAATGATGTTTTGATGAACCACTTAATACAATGCCGTAAACAAATGTTTAATATCAAATTAAGTTTGGAGGAAAGCCAGTTACTATGACAAAGCTAATAATTCAATTGATGATATACTTTTTATACTAATATTATATTCGTATATGAAATCAAGCAGCGCTCGGGCGGCTTCGTGTGGTGTGCAAGCTTTAACAACTTCAAAACATAAGGAACATCTTAATTTATTTAATTTCGTTATTTACAAACTTGTAAAGGAAACATACATTTTTTTTTATCAAGTCGTAACTCTTCTTTAAAATATACATACATAAACTTGTATACCTGTAATTTGGTTTCAAAAAATAAATTCAAAACTTGTGACTTATTGTAAGCTCATCAAGCCTAATGGCGCTAACCGCTATTAAACAATGGCGTATGAGTAATACATACCCCGCTAAGCCGTTACTGACCACCTCTGTTCCTTATAAGGTATACAATGTGTAGCCACAAGCCAGGTTTAGCTCCTCGTGGTGTGTCAGAGTTCCTGTTGATCTCAATAACAAACCCACGTGTAACCTGGAAATAACTTATGAATAATGCATTTGTGATCTTCGTTCATTTTGTTAATAACCGGTATTCTATCATCAAATCGGTTTTGGTGATAAAGCGTATATCCATTTGCTTAGTGACGCTTAGTCATTGTCCTCGCAGATTGGCTTCGGAGACGTGGAAATCGGTAGCTAGACTTTGCACTATAACTGTCGTGACGCAAGTCAAATGATAAATAAAGACTGCCATATGACAATGTTTTAGTGGAAACGGTGTTACAATTCATCTAAAGGAACCCTAATGTTCACGGAGAAGTGACCAATATGATTTTGACGTTTTGTTACAAACCCATCACAGTTATAACTGATCGTGAAAGGTGTGTTATTATTAAAAGCATTAATGATCAATTAACAGGGCCGAGAAGGAAGGTAGCAGACACCATCCCGACAACTTGACCCATGCAGTGACATACACTAGCTCCGTATTCATGTGGAATAAAGCTTGGTAAGAGCACGAACTTTGATAGTGATGGGGGGAAAACTTCAAATCTGACCTGGTTTTTCTTTTTCTTCCAGAGACCTTCAAAGTTGGAAGAATACCTGTTGGTAGGGGATACCTGTTGGTAGGATACCTGTTGGTAGGGGATAACAGGTATGGGATACCTGTTGGTAGGGGCCTATGATAAAACAGTTTTTACAGACACTTATATCTTCATATAATAGAAGGTACTTTCTAGGGAATATATGGTTTAAATTGAATATTGGCATTATACTTATTTGACCAATAAGCTGATTTGAAGCCGTAAAGAAGTTGTAGATGTAGACCCGATATAATACCATTATAATGATTGTACAGTCTCTACAGGACAGTGGTACGGGAATAGCTAACTCGGTCCACACAATAGCCAAAAGATTACAACACCCGGGAGTCCTGAAACCCCCGTGTAATCACCAAAAAAGATGTAGATGTTTTACACATCATTTACCTGTAATTCTAGGGATAAGTACGTAACCTTTAGCCTGGATCTGATCCGTATTGATCCACACACGTATTCTCCAGGTAGACCGTCCTCGCTACCCTCCGTCTGTTATCACAATATATATTATTGTATTCAGCGTAAGGTAGCATTTTTTTTTAATATTGAATAAAAACAAAAAAATACCACAGCGTCAACTTACGAGGACAAAATGGCACCGGGAAGCCAAAACGGAAAGAGAATAGGAACCAAAACTACGCCAAGTAAACACTTAGAAGACCCCAACAGATACCTAAAAATCAAACGGACAGAAGACATAAAAAGACACCAAGAATACGCCATATATATAGAGAGAGAGCAACACGAATCCTGACAAAATCAAGCGAGCATATCGGTCACAAACGATCCTTTACACAATGAACAAGAGTCCCAGGATTTTCCTATTTGGAAAGTATATCAGCATGAGGACTGTAAAACTCCGTTCGTATCATCTTTAGCCTAGAAATGCTTAATAACCGATATTAAATATGATATCTCCAACCTGAAACTGGTTTCTAGCTTAAAACCTTGGTTAATGTTTCACAGATAATCGGTTATTATTAGTGTGTTATTCTACACCGGCCAAACCCATCATGTCTAATAACAGGCCCATCAGGTAAAATAATGATACAGAAAGCATATCATAGAGACAAGCACGTACCTCATGACATCATAATTCAATAGCTGATATCGGCATATGATACCTGTATTACGTATTCTGTTGAAAATGAACCTGCTCGGAGAATACACCGTACTCCGAACAATTCTCGATTCTGTACCCAATCGGCCTTATATCACACGTGTATTGTATAACGTATATGAATATGATGTAGTTACTTCCGTCACATAGATACTGCCGGGGATAACTATCCTGTTCCTAAGTACCAAACAAAACACTAAGAAGTGAACCATAGTCCTACACTAATAGCGGAAATCTAAAATTCAGAACATCAGTCGGAAACACCGACCTACACAAGTCCTGTTCTTCGTCTGCTGCAAACAGATAAATAAAGTATCAATGACGGGTGGTGTGGTGTGTTGGTGTGGTGTGGTTAGGCGTGGTGTGATGTGGTTAGGCGTGGTTGTGTGGTGTGGTGTGGTGTGGTTGTGTGGCGTGGTGTTGTGTGGTGTGGTGGTGTGGTGTGGTTGTGTGGTGTTGTGTGGTGTGGTGTGGTTGTGTGGTGTTGTGTGGTGTGGTGTGGTGGTGTGGTGTGGTTAGGCGTTGTGGTGTGGTGGGGTGTGGTGGGGTGTGGGGCGGTGTGGTGAGATGGTGTGGTTAGGTGTAGTGTGGTTAGGTGTAGTGTGGTTAGGTGTGATGTGGTTAGGTGTGGTGTGGTCAGGCATGGTGGTGTGGTGGGGTGTGGTGGGGTGTGGGGCGGTGTGGTGACATGGTGTGGTTAGACGTGATTGTATGGCGTGGTGTGGTTAGGTGTAGTGTGGTTAGGTGTAGTGTGGTTAGGTGTAGTGTGGTTAGGTGTAGTGTGGTTAGGTGTAGTGTGGTTAGGTGTAGTGTGGTTAGGTGTAGTGTGGTTAGGTGTAGTGTGGTTAGGTGTAGTGTGGTTAGGTGTAGTGTGGTTAGGTGTAGTGTGGTTAGGTGTAGTGTGGTTAGGTGTAGTGTGGTTAGGTGTAGTGTGGTTAGGTGTAGTGTGGTTAGGTGTAGTGTGGTTAGGTGTAGTGTGGTTAGGTGTAGTGTGGTTAGGTGTAGTGTGGTTAGGTGTAGTGTGGTTAGGTGTAGTGTGGTTAGGTGTAGTGTGGTTAGGTGTAGTGTGGTTAGGTGTAGTGTGGTTAGGTGTAGTGTGGTTAGGTGTAGTGTGGTTAGGTGTAGTGTGGTTAGGTGTAGTGTGGTTAGGTGTAGTGTGGTTAGGTGTAGTGTGGTTAGGTGTAGTGTGGTTAGGTGTAGTGTGGTTAGGTGTAGTGTGGTTAGGTGTAGTGTGGTTAGGTGTAGTGTGGTTAGGTGTAGTGTGGTTAGGTGTAGTGTGGTTAGGTGTAGTGTGGTTAGGTGTAGTGTGGTTAGGTGTAGTGTGGTTAGGTGTAGTGTGGTTAGGTGTAGTGTGGTTAGGTGTAGTGTGGTTAGGTGTAGTGTGGTTAGGTGTAGTGTGGTTAGGTGTAGTGTGGTTAGGTGTAGTGTGGTTAGGTGTAGTGTGGTTAGGTGTAGTGTGGTTAGGTGTAGTGTGGTTAGGCGTGGTGTGATGTGGTTAGGCGTGATGGTGTTGTGTTGTGTGAAAGGGTTGTGTGGCGTGGTGTGGGTGTTCCGAATTATCTGTTAGGGAGTGGTGAAGCAGGCAACGTTTTGAGATGATTTATAAAGGGCATCTTATTAGAAAAGAAAATATAATTATCTATTAGATATATAATAGTCTCCCCCTATCAGGTGGTGTTTATCAGAACTTGTAGTAGAGGGCCAGCTTCACGCGCAGTTAAGGTGTCATGTCGCACGAGTAAATAATATGTGAGAGTTGTCTACCCTTAATCTTACTTCTCCGACATTCCCTGCTCTTACTAGTTTCACACTCCATCGGTTGGTTTTTAGATACGTCAATAAATCTCTACACAATTCGACCATCGATCGAAAACTAAAACAAAAATAAATCACGTACACATACATGTTTTATGTGCCAGATGGGACAATTTACAAAAACAATTAGGAGTTACATGATAAAACGATGTGTAGACCACTTCGTGGATTTTACTTTCTCTAATACACTAAACGTTAGCTTAATTGAAACGTTTAAACCGCTGATAGACATGGGAACCGTTAAAGATATCGATTCCAAGTGATTTTAAACCACTTAAACAAGTTTTTATTGATGTAAACAGAAACTAGTTAAATAACAGCTTTCAGATCTACCACAGTGTGTTTAGAACAAGTTGCCTCTCCTGGGGGCACACTGCTTTACCACCACAATGCCATAATTTTGTCGACGATTTCGGGTACATATAAATTTACCTAAACTGGTCAGGCCATTGTCCGGCGAAAACCGTTTACGTTGGGTTAATTTCCATTTGATGACATGCAGGTCAACAGACTGACCATTGAACACCAGACCTGCTGCTAAACACCACTAGTGGACGAATATGTGAAAATTGCCACTCGGCTATTTATTCCGCCATCGCCCGTACTGGATGGAAGGCCATTAGCATCACCTAGGTGTTTGAATTATCACCCTCTGGGTTGCCATAACGCTTGAACGTCCCCAATGACACTGATTGACCTCCCTGCCGCGGGGACCGGTTATCGGGGTTACTCAAAATGGCTGACCTTAGCTTACAGTCTATTTTCTCACTCGACGTGTAAAATATCAAATATTTCATACATAATCGGTTTTGTCATTTGTAGCTTCGGGCAGATCGACAATTCGGCTAAAATTAACTACAGGAAATCGCTCTGTTACGCTATCACATCACCAGTGTTACTCCTTCAGAAGTGTGAGATACCATGACCTATTAATTAAGGTGTAATTAGACATGTAGTCTGTTCTACCTTCGGGCCAGCGCCTGATCAGCAAGTTATATCGGCCAAACTTGTCCTAGAACTATTTCGTTTCCGCCCGACAGTTCTTCACGATCACATCAACTTCCTGAGTCAATAATCAAACAATAATCTTTAAAAAAATCACGTTTTTCCTTCCTATGAACGAGTCTTGTCTTTTTTCATGGCCGTGTCAAAATTCAATTTATTTCATAAAAACTAGAAACGTCATTGTAAACGTCGGGAATATTATTCAGTGTCGTTTGAACTTTCCAAATTGACCTCACAAATCAAAACGAGTTTCCATAATGCCTTTGCATTGAAAGGCGCTAAAACATGAGTGAGTAAGTCTTAGGTGTTTTGTCACATCATTTAGTACAGCATTCGACTCCTTGTATTTCTCAGTCTGGTAAATGATCCTTCATTTTCCAAATGATTTTAAAGCAGCAGTGACGTAAGCCTTCACTTATCTACATAACTGTATACCATTCGAATTGTCCTTGTAAATGTTTCGACAGTAAAGACAAACGTTTCGGGGTATAGACCACAGGTAATAACAGCCATATCTATAGCGCAAGTTAAAACAACCATCTCTGTGTTATCGTCACGTGTGCTCGCAGAATAGCAAGATACAATTTTAATCGTTCTTTTATTTCTATGCACTGTTGAGTAGGCCATCCACGGAGTATAATTATATATATACGTCGGAATGTGGCCCGGCGTCCCTGACAGATATATAAGTAATGGTGGGAGCCTCTCCTCCTTTACGGGCATTTCACATCGCCAATACGGTTAGTCAGCTTACACGGGAACTTTTTTTCTAAAAAAAAACGTCTACAAGAAAAGGTATCCAGTATGTGTTGTTGTTCTGTTTACAAATATATCATTTGTTTTTTATTTATTCAGAAACTGTTAGAGTGAACAACTTACGTCATTATGTGTATCGGGTACGAAACAACTGATTACAGAAACACGCGGTTCCGGTATCGGCTGATCTTTGCGTTTCATGGAACTTCGGGACTGTGATAGCATGGAACAAACATCTCCGGGACATGCACTCCAGTTCTCATCCGGGACAAACATCTTCGGGATATTGATAATCGGCCGAAATCTTACCGTCGGCCACTGGTCGCAATGTTTATGTTGTGTTATATATGTATATATACTATGTGAGATGTACTGTCTCCCATCTCTATGTATAAACTTCAAATAAACGACGCGCATTCCACAGCTTTCTCGACATGGAACCATAATTTACGTTAGTGCAAATAGGTCACGAGACATAGCGTATAAACTGTTGATAGTCTATAGTGTATACGCTGCTACGCATCTGTTGTGTTGTAGTTACTCGCCTTATAATACAAATGTCCATCATTGACATTTCTGCAATAACAGCAAAACATCCATTGATACATATTTCTTCCTTCCTGATGTACAGCTGTGAATTGGTGCCATTAAAAAACTGGTTAGCTCGTTTTTCAGTATAATGTAACCGGATGGCGGGTTGTGCTTCCATGTCCAGACTGGCATTTCAGTGAGATTACACTATAAAGTGGCCCTTGAGTGTCTCCATCATCTGTGGACACAGTTCTCACGCGACCTAAACTGTAACGAGGACATACCACTGTAAACCATCCAAACCACATCAGTGGTCGCCATTATGGTACATCATTACGTTAAATCTGTAAACTATCGACACGTTCCAATGATGGCGTACTATGTGTGGTGTATGTCCAAGACATATTTTACACTACTGCAAGACATCTCCGATTTTAAGTATATCGCAGATTGAAAAAATCGGTTACAAGTTAGCGCTAGCAATTCTTACTCGGCGAAGAGAAGCAAGTCATCGTGTCAGGATTTGCAACTCATCTGAGCTGCGGCCGCTGATCCTGACAAAAGGAAGAGAAAACAATGATCTATTGTAATGAGGATGAATACAGGTGTACAGATTTCCCCGATACATAGGTTTATAAAGACTTCAGTAAAACACATTTAATGTGGCGTGAATTCCGTTCAATCTCTTCATTTTCTTAACCGGACAACTAATGATAGTACGGCATATACAACCGAAGAAGGTAGCCGTCAGGATTCCGGTGCATCAATGATCAACTTCGTGAAATGACACAGCCATTCATACTTTTAAAAAGTTTTGCGAAGTCGTTGCAAAATATTAAGGCGCATCCAACCATTTTTTGTGGTCGTTTAAAATCAGCACCTTCACGTTTAAACTTTCAATTTGAATAATTAGAAAAAAAAGGTTATTAATTCAATCTTAACGTATCTA